GAATGCCGTATATTTTTGTTTTTGTGCAGTCATAGTAACATGCAGCAGATTTCACAGGAGTTCAAGAAAACCATGTCCTTCAGTGCTCTCTATAACTCATTTTGAGTGTTCCAGTACAGAAGAAACCTGATTTTTCACGCTGGCAATATACAAAAAGTACTACTAAACAATGGCATCCTTTTAAAACTTTCAGAGTGCAAAACACTGTATTGTACCAACAACATTCATCATCATGAAGAAAATAAGATTTTCATAAAACCCTGATGCTGAATTTAGTCACAAAGCAAAGAAATCCCTGTAAGAAACTGAAAATCCATCCCATATTTAGCATAAGGCTAACGTGGATGTGGTTTACTGCTCTTCAGATTGATGGAGTTTTGCATTGTTTCACTGCAAAGGCCAAACTTCTTAAATAAGTCTGATCTTGCTGCTTTTGCAAATAAGCTGTCTTAAGGTCAAGGGAAAAAAAACCTTCCACTTTCTTCTTTTGGTAGTTCATTATCTTATGCAAGTCTAACACTACTCTGAGGAGGCCAATATGAAAATGTCTGCTTTCTGGATTTTAAAGAAAGGGTGCCTGTACCATTCTGCAAGTAAAGACTGATTACAGACACCTCTTACAGCCTCAGTATTTCCTAAGCAAATATTTTTCTGATTACCATCCATGTTTATAGTCCTATAGGAGTCGTAATGCTGTTAATGTTAATGCTTCTCTATAGAGAAAACATTTAGCTTAAAATAGTACTCTCTGACTTGCCTTAGCATCTGATCTCCAAATTGCATTTGCGGAGAAAACTGAAAGCTTCATGTGATAGCAAAATGCAGTGATTCTGTAACAAAAGGAGAATATAAAATGAACACATCCTGAAAGTTTCAGTATAGCCTAGTTGCAACTCTGGTTTAAAACTGATCTCCAGTCTTCCATCTGCAAATAACACAGGAGATGTTAGAAGAAATGAACAACATTTTGGTGCCCAATTTTCAAAAACTGTCCACCTCCAATTTCTATATTTTTATTTTTATTTTTTTTAATATGCTAGAGTATTGACATCTGTGCATGTGAAGCTGTGAAAGTATGAATCTGAAACCTGTCAGCTGTTCATCAACATGCTGAGGAGGAAAAAATGCAAGCAACAGAAGGCTGGGTTTTGGGAAGGATGTTGCAGAGGGCTCGGGGAAGCACACGTACTCTACCAGAACGTAAGGAGAAGCTGCACATAGGGGGGGCCTGGGGCACTTCCACAGGTTGTGTCCCATAGCTGGAAGCTCTGCACCTCTCACACCTGGCTAGAGCACAGCCCAGTGCTCCCACAGAGCCAGCATGTGACAGATCTGCATCTCTGGGGCCAGGAATCAGACACCTCTGCTTTTTCAACATGTCCCAGAGAGATTCCATTAAGCAGGAGGGCAATACTGGTAACGGCACACCAATTAGGTATCCAACACCCAACACTAAAATCTCGGTATTTGCTCATGAGCCAGCCCTTGATTTAAAAAACTATCATATTTTAAAAGACCTATCCCCTTAGAAATTAAAAAATATCAAGTATTTCTAAAGGGAAAATGCCACATTATAAAGATATTAATGTTTTTGATAACTTTAACCTGATATAAACCTTTGCACTTTTTTTTTTTTTTTAGTAATTTCTTCTCACTCGGTTAGTATTCAAAAGTTCTCTTATGGAATCATTCAAGTCACTGCTTGTAATACAGCATATCAATATATTAATTTTCTCTTTCTAGTAGCAGTTTTCCATTCCCATTTCCTTTATCTGAATTCTGGATTATTTATTCTCATGATAAAATGCCCTCTTTCATGTAGTTTAATTAATTCATGACTTTTAAAATTCCTATCTTCACATTAAATATGCTAGCAAGTTTGCTTAAGTCAGATTCCCCCTCTAGTTTTGAGTAACCCATCTGAACAGAGTCTTCCTTACATTTCCTTCTCTTTTAACAGTCTTCATTTAATCCAGACCTTCAGTAAGAGAACTTTTAGGACAAGTAATTGTTTCTGACATGAAAAAGCCCCCTGACACACAGCATGATATTAATTGTCATTACTTGCATGCTTCTTACCAATACTGGCAACAGTTTACAGTACACACCTGTAATACTCGTAGTACAACGTCTCAACATTTGCTGGAACAGCAACATTTTCTCAGTCCTGAGGCCCAACAAAAACAAAAACTGCATTCATTTTTGACATTTTGACTTTACTGTTTTAAAAGGCAAACAAGCAACACCCTTTGTTAAATTGTATTAATGGATGCATTGCTTCTAAACTCATTGCTTGTTTAACTCTAATTTTGACTTCTAACCTTCAAGTCTTACTTATTCAAGGATTAAATAAGTTTTTGGACTCTTAAAGTAGATCCACAGGATACCCATTCTCGCACAGCATCTTCCAGCTTGACAAGAAACTCTCTTCCTCCAGGAAAAGTTTTGCTTGTGCAGGGCTGAAGGCCTCTGGGGGATTGGATAGAACTGCTCTGCATAAGTGCATCACACTGTTAGGACTCCCTCTACAAAAGATCATTGTACCTACTTCTTGAAGGATGGCCAAAAGACGAAGTGAATGTAAATGTGTTGCCCATCCTTTATACAGTATCTGAGATATAAGAACTGCATTGCCATTAAGAGTGAAGTTTAGATTCAAAGCTTTCCTCAGTCTGAGAAAGCTGAACCCTGGTGACCTGCCTCCCATGAAAAGGCACTTTCACCCCTTCTTGGGCCAATAAGCACGGGAAGAACATGAGGGTTTTAGTCTTCAAGGGCTGCTGGTTAAATGAACTCTTCCTCTTAGAACAATCAGATTTGAGTTGTAGTCCCAAGACAAACAGACTCACCATCAGTTTGCCCTCCAGATGGCTTTGAAAAGAAAACATTTAAACATAAGCTTGGTTCTCTAAGGGAAAAATAAGTAGCTGCAATCAGGATATTCTGGACTCAAGGTCCTGTGTAAGTGGAGATCCACCCAGGTTTAAGCTTCTTACCATTCAGAGGCAGTAGATGTCAGACACCATCTGGCCATCAGTGTTGTTTTCTACAATCTTGCCCAACACAAAGCACCACCTTGTCTGCATCCCATCTGGGGCTCCTCACTATCTCCATGTAGCACTAAGGAAAGCCAGAGTCCCTCTCTCAGTGCTTGGAGGAAGACACCAGACCTGCATGACTGCAGCTCTCTGTGAGCCTTGTCCTGGCTAACCATTATACCTCTTCTTTGTGTGGGTACTGCTCACAGGTCCGGTCAGCTTTTAACCTTTGAGGAAACATAGCACATTGAACTTTCATGGCATGTAACACAGTTTCCCAAACTTGAACACCTCTTGATCCTGTATTCTGGAGCCTCTCTTACAGTCCAGCACTTTTTCCAAAATACTATGGAAACAGCCTCTCAGGTCATGTGTACAGCTCCACTACTCCCCTTATCCCTCTCAGGGACTCCACTCCTGTATTTTGGGATTTTGCTGGTTGCTCAAAATGCGATATTGGATTAGGAGTTTAAACAACCATTTATCACTGCCTTTTTAGGTTGACTTCACACCAGGATGCAATAAAGCTACCTTGAGTGTCATAATATCTGGCCCAATTTCTGCATGAGGCATGGGGTCATTAACAAGAAGGAAGATTTTACATTGTTTTAGAAGACAGCTCATGCTAGTCTTTGAATTAGCTCCTCACGTACCCCAGGAAACTGGTCTGAGAACTGGGATGCCCAGTGGCAGGCAGGGGACCGATACAGCTAAAGAAAGCGCATGAGCCACTTCAGAAGATATGTTCCAAGTTCCTCCCCAGGTCTTTTGCCTTTTATTCTCCAATTCAGGTATTACATTTCCACTGGTTTCCACCAGGGTTGTGCATGCACCTTGACATGTTCACAGAAGTTCCACAATACAGAGTTTCACAACTGGGACAGGTCCCTACAGTAGGGACACCAGGGTGACAAAACAGATTCTGGAGAATTTCCCACTGAATAGGATGGAGAGAACATAATTATCACATCGTAGCACCACAATGCCTCATAAACATAGAATAGACTAGATCCATTTACCACAAAAATCACAGAAAGTAACTGATCAAAGAATATCTCTTTTATGTAAAATATACATTTGTAGGATATAATTTTAATACAACTTTTATATTTATTGATGTTGGGTTTGCAACACTGAATTAAAAAAAATAAACAAAATAGTCCTGCTGCCCGAATTTTATTTCTCATAATACTTATAGTTTGAGGTAACAATGAAAGAAGACTCTGTGCTGTGAATAAAGTTAGTGATGTTTGTCTGCAGTTACATTTCTGTTATCAAAGTGAAAAGTAAACTTAAGACTTGGCATGTACAGTAGAATTCATACAAATATAGGTCATGGCAAACTGAGAAAGCAAGGACTTATGCAAACCTACTCTGTTCATATTTGTGACCTTTGCAAAATATATAATTATTATAACAGAAGTCAAGACAGATGTCATTTACATCACTATCGTTATTAAGTGTGTGTCTTTGTATGATCCACAGCACAATTTACTGCAGGAACCAGGAATAATACACACAGGGGTGTGGATCTTTGCATGGAGTCTTAGCAATGATGACTTGAATTCAGCTTTCCTTGATATAGATAAAAACTGATATTCCATGCATACATTTTATTTACAGCTGACTCATAAACAGTGACTAGTCACCCCTTCCTCTGGCAGCAGTAATTACAAGCAGTCGTTAATCTTCTTTAACAAGCTCTACTTCCCATGTAAAGTCTCAGCGACCTCCTCAAGGCATGAGTTGTTTATCAGGGCCCATTCAGCAGCAGCAGTCTCTTTCCAGTACAGTCCTTGGTATGGCTAAATTCCATTGTCCCTTTTTCAGCAGTCAAAAATCCATGATAAATTCTGTACAACACTGTAGTTAATATAACAGCAGCACCAGATATTATATTAATTCCTTTGCTAAAAGCTGTTTGCAATTATCTCTCTATTGACAATATTTTACCAAAACTAAATCAATGTACAATTCTAAATATCAGAAATGTATACTTTGAGAAGTACATTATTGTACAAGAATTCTGACATGCAGGTCATGCTATTGGGCTAGGGCATATACAGAAGAACATGTTACATGGTCAACAATAAGTAATATTTCTTTTCCTAACAAAAAAGAAAACATTACAATAGGGTATTATTCAACAATCTTTTAAGGTTTGTGTTGTTACGGTTTTGCCCATGAAGTTCTAAAACTCTACAGCTAAGGGTAATTTTTCCTCACCAGCCTACGACATCAAATCTGCCATTGCATTTGTCCTGTTGCACAAAAAGAGGTTAATATTGAATGAAGAAGCCACTAGAGGAGTTACAGTTTCAAAACTGTAATGAGTGCTGGTTGCCAGGAAGGAGATTGATGCAGCAACCAGTCTGTACCATAAAGCCACTACTAAATCACACTTGAAAAATCTTCGGTGCTCACATGAGTTAGTCTAGACAATACTAACTTGCACTTGAAAAAAATATATATCTGTATCTATACATGTAAGTGCAGCCCATACGGAAAAAAAAAAAAAAAAAAAAAAAAAAAAAAAAAAAAAAGTTTTAAAATATTCCCTTGCATGCATATATGCAGTGTTTTATACAGTAACCATAAAAATGACATGGTTGTTTTATACCTTTCAAGCACAAGCAACCTGTTTAAAATATATCTTTATCTATAACTTAAAGGCCAACCCATACGGAAAAAAAAAAAAAAAAAAAAAAAAAAAAGAAAAAAAAAAAGAAAAGAAGAGGAGAAAAATGTCCTTAGTTAACCTTAAAAGAGGGGGCATTTTAACAGTATTTCTGTGCTTTATGGAGACAGATGGAAAATACAGTAGACAGGTTGCAAAACAGACAGACAAACAACATATAGGACAAAGCACCTCAAAAAACATTGACTGAATGTAATTTTTGAAGCTCATGAGCCAGAGTTATAAGGCTGGTCGAAAACCCAACTTGAGAACTAATTCCCTCTTACAGTGATACAAAAGAGCCCCCAGTAATCTTCTCCATTTTACTTGGTACTCAGCCTCTGAAAATGTTGAAGAACCCCAGAGTAGAGAAATTACTACAGTACCAAGCAGCACTTGCTAGCTTAGAATTGCAAGTCTGGATGGCATTTACCTTTCTTGCATGTTTTGTGCCTTCCCCAAGCCATTAAGAAAGAGATCTGGCTTCTGCTTGCGTGTAACCAGTAATGACAACCTCTTTGCAGTTATCTGTGTGCAAACAACCGGAGACATTCAGAACTCTGATACAGCAATCCAGTACCGAAGTAAGTTAATCACAAAATAAAGCCATTTATAAACAAGTAGATCATTAAAAAAAATAATAATAAAGGAAAAAAGGTTAAACAAAGAAAAACAATCCCACATGCAGACCAGTTTATCAGTGCTTTCATTTCAGCA